TTTTTTATGAAAGTATAACATTATAACATGATAAAAAACTCAAAAAAGTTAATTTTACATGATATTGCCCCTTTAACAAATGTGACTCTGCAGTTCTGTTGGGCTGAGTCGGCACTTTCAGAGGAGTGAGTGGGAGTGAGTCGTCTGTAGGAGGAAGGATCTGAAACACAATGATTCTACTGACAAAGTTCACAAACTCTCCAACACAACTTTGCATTTTTTCTTCCTGAATGAACACACATCTATATCAAAGGAGCAACGCAAATGCAAAGTGATATTTTGCTAACAGGGTTAATAGGGTTTTAGGCAAACAGACAGTGACAGACTCTGTTATGACCACACCAATCTTTAGGATAATATCTGTAAAACTGTCTGAATTATAGTCATTTTTGTGTTTCCTAATTTCGGTTAACTGGAGCAGAGATTTTGGTTAGATTTTGCTCCTAAATGTAATCGCTGATAGTTGCACATCCAATGATTATTTCTTGAAAGTTTTATTAAAATCTGTCCAGTGGGTCCTGAGTTATTTTGCTAACAGACAGAGTTGACTCCAATTTGTTACTGGGCAAATTTTAAACAGGTTTTGTGCAAATGTTTTTTTTGCTCAGATTATGTGTTAGTGATGAGTCTCGGTTGCCCACACGCCAAATTTTAGGTCGTTATCTGTAAAACTGACTCATTCCTATCCGTTTTTGTGTTTTTTCAGGTCAGTTGGTCTTTGCAGCCATCTTGAATCAGGCTGGCTCCAAACGCTAATCAATGATAGTTGCACATCAAGTGAATATTTCCTGAAAGTTTCATTAAAATCTGTCCAGTGGGTCATGAGCTAGCTTGCTAACAGACATTAACAAAAACATTCTTGCCCAACAATTTTCTGTGACCTTTTCCCATCAGATGAAAAATAAAACCCAGAGTCAAACAGAAACCTACAAGGCTCCAGTTTTCAAACTGATGCTCGTTTAGATTCGACCTAATTTAGTTACAGGTCATTTGATCTTATAAGGCTCAGCAGCGCAGTCTCTGTGTCGAATCATTCCACACACCCTGATGCTAAAATGGGTCTTTCTAAAGGTAAATACTATCACAGTATGTCTTTTATGGCTTCCACCAACCTCATATTTTCTTTTAATTCTTGTAAGATTTTAAACTATAGCTTAATTTAACGTTTAATGAGGTGTTTTTGATCTAAAGCTTTCTAATGGGGAAAAAGGAGAACTGTGTATGTTTCTGTGATACATTCTGAAAGATTTCACATCAAACTAATGAGCTCATTTCCATCTGTTTACCACCTTTAATGACTTCAGTAAGAAAAATTTATTAAGCGGGGAAAAGATTCAGAGTGCCACACTGCTGGACACATTATAATAAAAAATAAAAGAGGGAGGAAAAGATGTCAGAAATCAGAAAAACAACAAACGACTAAAGATGCGATCAAATAGTTTAAACAAATCGTGTTCCGGGGAAAACAAATAGTTTCACAATGTTAAGTTTCTGCTTCCAGTGCGATCCTGACATGTTTATCTTTTCAGAACTTTTTTTTTTAAAACAGATGTTCTCTATTAAAAGCATCCCTGACATTTAAAAAAAAAGAAGCCCAAATAAGTAAGAAAAGACGATTGGGTCGTCTGTGTGCGCTTTGGAAGCAGATTAGAGAGTCTGGCTGCTGCGTTGAATTTGGCGTGTTGCCTGGAAATACCAAAAACAGACTTTCCTAATATAATTTTTCTGCTTGTGTTCTGCTTTTGACGTCACGAGGCTGCAATTTGTGGAAGCGGCGTGGGATTCCTCGTAAAGAATAACAAAACTGGTGAACTTGAGCTGCTCTGGCTTTTTTAGGGTGGAAACAAAATGGCGAAAAAGCAGACTTTTACTTGATTTATAGCCTCTCTTTTAGCTTTTTGTTTTCATTTAACATGAAGAAACAACAGGAATGTGTGTGTGTTTTTTTTTAAACTCAACATGGCTTGTCTCTCCATCTCTCCCTCATTATCCCTGACGTTCTCGCATCTATTCTGGGCCCTGCTTCTCAGTGGGGAGGGAGACACGATGTGCTCGGACAGTTATCTCGTTTAAGCTCCCCCGCAGCTCCATCCCCTTATAGCCACCGTCAGACGCGGCGGCTCAGCTCTGAGGGACATCCGTGACGCAGCATGTTGGTCCTAAACAGGCCTTTAAGCTCCTGCTCTGCATCGCTGCAACCCATTGAACCATTTAAGATGATATGAGAAATGAACGATGAGCCCTGGTTTGAATCTCTCCGTGTCAAGAAATTCTCTTCCTGTGAAAAAGCAGTGGATGCTTTGTTTATTTTTAGCGTGTGCCCTGCGACTGTAAAACTAAAATCAATGAGCTGATGCGTCACTCAGGTCTGTACGGAAGAGGATTAAGGCTGTAGAGAAAAATAATATATAAGTTCTGACTTCAATCTCCTAATTCTAATTCTGAGGGGAAAAAAAGTCTGAATTCTGACTTTAATCTCAGAATTCTAAGAAAAAAAAGTCAGAATTCTTCTTTTCTCAGAAATAGTAAAAAAAAGATTTCAGACATTTTTCTCATAATTCTGAGAAAATAGAATTAAGACATCAATGCAGGGCTATTCTTTTTTTTTTTTTTACTTCAGTAGAAAAAATAACTTAATATTAGTTTCCTAATGCAGGTCTATTCAACTGGTGGCCCACCGGCCACATCCGGCCCGCGAGTGATCAAAGTTCGGCCCACCTATTGGTTCATTCATCTCTTCAGCCCAAACCCCCGGTTTTCTACTTTAATGAGTTCTCTTAGTTAAACGTAGACATGTTTGGTATCAACAGAAACGTCAGAATCTTGTTGTAGATTAGGGTCTCAAAAAAATAAAAGAAAAACACGCAAAAAGAATATCGTTCCAATGATTTTTTTTGTTTTGTTTCATGCAAATACTTGTTTTAATCAACTGTTATTTGACACTAAGGTTGATTTATGTGTTTTTCTGTTTTATTTTTCAATTTAACTAAGTTGATCACTGTGAGTTAGTTTACTATGTTTTACTGTGAAATATACAGCGGGTAAAATAAGCATTGAACACGTCAACATTTTTCTCAGTAAATATATTACTAGAGGTGCTAATGACATGAAATTTTCACCAGATGTCGGTAACAACCCAAGTGATCCATACATACAAAGAAATCAAACCATAAATGTCCAGAAATGAAGTTATTTGTAATAATGTGGAATGGCAAACTGTAAACCAGGTGATTGGCTGGGCCATTCCAGCAGCTTTAGTT